TGAAATTATCAAAAAAAATGAAATGAAATAGGGTTTAACGTCCTACTATTCTGTTCCGACTGGGCTATTGAAGACGAGCATACGTCATACAGTGTGCTACGAGGGAAATTTTGCCCGGGCAGCGGTACTTTAGCCTACCGGTATATCGAAATCCAACTGCCAATGGATCTTTAACATGTATGCCAATGTATACACAGGACCTCGGTTGTTCGTCCCATCGGAATGACTAGACAGCTGACCTTATCAGGTCCCCCGTCCTGCATCACTTGGAAAATCTGGATGAACTTTCTCGGCCAATACAGGGATCGAACCCGCGACGTCCAGACTAGCGAGCCAGCGTCTTACCCACTTATAGATCTATCATTATCAGTTATAGATCTACTTTATTTTATCTAGATAAGAAAACTTATCACTGTATCTGCATCTTATTTACATACATCATTCATTGACCTTGACAACCTGACTTTAAAAACCTACTACACCACATTATGACCAAAGTCAGACAAAATTAAAATGAAATGAAATGGGGTTTAAAGTCCTACTGTTTAACCCCGACTGGGCATACGCCATACAGTGTGCTATGAGGGAAATTATGCCCGGGCAGCGGCACTATGACCAGGTTTTATATCGAATCCCAATTGTCAAGGATCTTTTACGTGCACGCCAATGTGTACCCCGTACCTCGGTTTTTCTTCCCATCCGAAAGACTATCAATTGTCCTTTGCCGGGCCCTCTGTACTACACCTCTGACAAGAGGGAACCACGCCGGAAAATACAGACAAATGTTCTCGGCAAACATCGGGATCAAACACGAAACCTCCGGGTTAGACAGCTGTCTTACTCACTGAGTCACCGTGGCTCCAATGTTGCTGTCGCATTAAGCGAGTTACTAAATTGCGGGTGTGGGGGGGTACGTCCACTCGACACAAACTAGGTCATTTCGGGACTAACACATGGTCTCAATTTTATTTCAATAGTTCGCTTGCGCATAGGGGGTCTTTTGAGATTTCAATAATTCTTGGCGTGTGGTGCATGGAACTATGGGCATCCCACTGATAACATCAATGCTGATTGATTTATCAAATGTCTGATGTCATAGGGTCAAAAGCAGTTCGTATCAACCCTGACGCGACCTCGCATTACAATCGGTCAGATCTGCATGTAGTGTAGGCCATCGACAGTATAAAAAACGAAACGAAATATAAATCTGTATTTTAGTCAGATTGAATATCTATAGGTAAAATAAATAGAACATTTGTCGTTTTGTCGTGAATAACATATTTTATTTCATCTCTAAGCAAGAAAACTTATATTTTCACGAATGCGTAGCATGAGTGAAAATATAAACGTTTTCTTGCTTAGAGATGAAATAAAATATGTTATTCACGACAAAACGACAAATGTTCTATTTATTTTATGATTTTACAATCATTTTAGGTAAAAACAACTAGCCAGTGGAATAACACTTTTATTTCACTGATAAAACGCGGTATTCCACTACTGATCATAGAATAAATTGTTTTATTTATAGGACCTCTAAAGTTTGAGAGTTCGACAACACCTCGGTATCTTAATCTGAGATTAAACCAATCATCGTTCAGTTATCAAATTGGTATCAGCGACACTTCAACATGGCTGAACAGTGCACCGATTGTGTTCAATGCTTTTGGTAAAACCTTCTCTACTGGTGATGGAACATTGAAGAACGTGGGTGTTCGACGTGATAATGACATAGATCGACTAGGATCGTACACGAGTACAGAGTGGTTGTTTAGCATCGAGCTTAATACAATCGTCTCCGCTACTTTTAAACAGTACACATCACAGAATTTTGTTATTTTTAAGCAGGTAGGTGAATTTGAAAAATGTTAAAATAAAGTACTGATTAATGATGGGATAAAATCTTTAGATTCAAATTTATTTTCGAAATATTAAACATGCATAATGCAAGAGGCCAATATGCCTTTTGTGGGTCTTTCTTTAGGCTTGAAATGTATTAATTAGACATATTAACATGAAAACGCCATAATCAACCCTCGATGCCATCTTATCTATCAAATTTCATTGAATTTGAATCCGATCAGCTGTTCAACGTCCGTAAAAGTGGATAATCGAGACTTTGTTAATTATCGTGACAGCGCTAACAATGAGAACCACCAGCTCTTTATCTAATCTTCCATAATGTGTCTTTAAGTCGAAGTTAATTTGTTTTTACTAACAAAATAATATGCATATCTTCTGTTTTTCGTCCTTTCCAAACTCTGTTCCTTGCAAGTCCCTCATTCCTGGACCGCTGACAAGGGGAAACCACACCGGAAAATTGCGAGGAACTTTCTCGGCCAATGCCGGGATCGAACTCGTGACCTCAAGCCCCTTACTCAATAAGCCACCGCGGATCCCACATATAGTCAGCCCATATCGGTCACAGTGTTGGGGGGGGGGGGGCGAATGGTTAGCGTGTGCGCACTGTCATAAGGTCTGTCACTGAGTCAACTGGCGTGGTTTCTATTCCCTGGTTGTACGTGACAAGGAGTAGGGTTGCCTGTCCAACCTAGGGGGGGGGGGAGTCCGGGTCCCACTGCTAAAGACCCCTACGCGCAAGCGAATTATTGAAATAAAATTGAGCCATATGTTAGTCCCGAAATGACCTAGTTTGTATCGAGTGAACGTTACCCCCCCCCCCTCTCTCTCTCTCTCTCTCTCTCTTTCTCTCTCGTTTGATAAATCTACACGGACGTTTCAGTGTAAATACGGAATTCTAGACTGGCGAATGGTATATATACATGCAATATATTTCTAACATTGCGATTACTTGGCATAAGAACATGAAATTTAAACAAATCTTAAAGGGAAAATCCCCTCGAATTGTCCCACGAATCAGAGTGTGGTTTTGAACAGGCTCTACAGTAAATCTGTGTTTTACCGCGCAGGTGAAAATATCATTGAGAAAACTTTCCCCTGGTCATTAACACACAGACCTAGAAGTATATTTTTAGATTTTTAACTAAGACGCGTGCGTGTCTTCCCAGTCATTACCATCTAACCAGCAAATAAGAAAAGCATATACATAGATCTATCTTAGATATGGCGAGCACCTCAGTATGTCAATAAAACCTTCAACACAATACTTATTTCTTCTCTTAGAAGACAATTGTATCAGTTTCTCTATTAACGTCCAATACATATTGCATGATATTATGAACAGGTTGATTTAAATTTAATTATTGACATAATGAAGGAATATTTATATAAGATTTTGAGCTTTTTAAACGGTTAATGCTAAATGATAAGGCCAGCTCAATTTTTCGTCATAGGCCACGAGATGTAAACAGGGCTAGCGCTAACCCTAACCCTGGACCTAGCCCTAATGCTTACCTAACCCTAACCTACAATCTCGACAACAATAACGTGCCCCTAACCTTATTTACATCTCAGCAACCTTGACAAAAATGGAACCGGCCTTAACAAATAGATTTATCCCTTTTAAAGGGACAATAACACTCTCGCTGGCTTGAAAGCTCCAGAAAATAAATAATATCTCTATCTAAGTACTAGATGTTTAAGTGTCCTACCTGATGTGTAAATTATCCATTACATCCTATTTTACTTGTCCTGAGGGTTCGAAAATATTTTTAAATCGAAGTTTCATTTGAAAAGGTTTACGTTAGACGTTTCATACCATTATGTTGAATTTTTCAAAATTTTTAGATAAAGTGTGTTAAGATGAAATTTGTATCATCAATTAATTGAAATATTCTAAAATAGTACAATTTGTTGACCAGAAAAAGATTGGGACATATTATTCAGTTACAACAAGAGTGGTATTGAGCCTTTAAACTTATCTATACAAACTGTAGCGCCACCTGGTGCCCTTTCATACACCTTATGTCGGTTTAAACATCCAGTGAAGGAGCTCATAATATATATAGAGAGAAATAGGGTTTAACGTCCACTCGACACAAATTGGGTCATTTCGGGACTAACATATGGTTCAATTTTATTTCAATAATTCGCTTGCGCGTAGGGGTCTTTAGCAGTGGGAGGAAACCGGCGAAAGACCCGGAGAAACCCACGAAGTTGGACAGGCGACCCTACTCCTTGTCACGTACAACCAGGGAATCGAAATCAAGCCAGTTGACTCAATAACAGACCTTATGACACACCTCATAATATAATATAGACTAGTCTTACATATTTATTCTGTTCCACTACGTTAAGCACCAGTCAGTCCAAATAGGTCACGTTCAGTACATGTGTTTCTTTTTCAAAATTCAAAATTTTATTTATTAACCCATTTTGTGTTCTATTGTTCCATTGATAAACAAAACGACATGCATTTAATTGTATTTGCCCCATCACTAATTCATGTAACCTATTTACACTATGCAATAATTATTTTGACCCAAATATCAATGATTACAATGCTACCTGTAAGCCTATCCTACCAATAGCACGATACTGCTAGCTAATGGAATGATTACCACATGTGCTTTTTTAAATTGTTAAACATATATAGGATTATATTTTGTAGTTAGAACATTGTATAACAGGGCTAGGTCACCATCACGTACTAACTTATACCACGATTTCAAAGCTAAAGGAGCTAAATCGCAAATTATTCTGGACCTAGAAATTGACTCAGTTTATATACATTCATATTACATTATTATATGCCTTGCGACCCATTTGATTTGTGTCAATTTCTAGATCCCATATATTAGCGATTTAGCTCCTTTAAAGTTAATCAGGGCTCTAACAATAAGAAATTTATAATTTTTAAAAATTAGCCTCGCCCAATAAGAAAATTAGGTTCTTTAAGTAAAAACTTTGAAAATAAGCGATATTATTAGCACTGTGCCATGGTCAAATTTGCAAATTATTTTTCGTCAAATCGTTTAATTTGCGCGGGATTAACAAATAATAAAATTAATCTACGAAGATTTTCATAAATTCATTTGATAGATTGTCACACAATACAATGAATAAAATTGTTGTCTTACCTATTTCTACACGACTTCTCAGCTAAAAACAATGAAACCCGTTTATTATGCTGCAGCAGTGTATAACTAGTGGGACTCATTTACTATAAATAGAACAAAATATTATGACAAGTACTAAACTATATATTATAGTATAACAATAAACCACAAGGCATTGCAAGGAACAAATGGAATTCAAACCATATGACTTCCAAGCTGAGTTTTCTGATATTGGGGGAGTACCATGATTATTATTAATTTCTGGTGTGATTTTATTTTATATATAAGCCGTAAATGTAAAATTTAGGTAAAGTGTGAAGTTGGAATCTTGTCTTTTCCATCTTGCGAGTCCACCAAAAACAGAGAGTGAGAGAGGGGAGAGAGAGAGAGAGGGGGGGGGGGATTAAAATCCACTCGACACAAACTAGGTCATTACGGGACGAATTCGCTTGCGCGTAGGGGTCTTTTAGCAGTGGAAGGAAACCGGAGGACCCGTAGAATACCCATAAGGTTGGGCAGGCGACCCTACTCCTTGTCTCACGTACAACCGGGAATCGAAACCACGCAAGTTGACACAATGGCAGACCTTATCATACAGCGCGCACACGCTAACCATTCGCGACCCCCCCCCCCCCCCCGATGCACTAGGCGTGTCTTTCATTATATAGACCGGATTTGTTGACACAAAGACTGGATAACGTAAGCTACAGACTTCCATATAGTCAATGTTATCTTTTAACCTGTAAAATCAACTTGATTATTTTATTGTAGACATTTTATAATGATTCTGACAAATATTCACAATATGCTGCTAAATGTGTTTGAAGTTCTGTGGAAAACAGATTAGCTGATGATCATAGATGTATGTGTCGAGTGGACGTTATACCCCATTTCTTTCTTTCTTTATTTGTATCTCTTACTTTTTATTTATTTTAGACATTTTACAATGATACTACGGGTTGTTCAGTCCATGATGCCGGTTCCGTCATATCTCATTTCCCGGCATTTCAAGTTGCTGTCACTACCCCAGAACCACTCGGCTATTTTTCCTATGGTGGGGACATGTTTGGATATGGCCACACATTTGGCACGTAAGTAATTGCAGTCACAAAAATTAAACCAAAATGGCGATAGTCATCTAAAATAAAATGGCGATAGTCATCTAAACACAATGACCATAGTTGTCTAAAACAGCCAGACGTTTGTAGCAAGACGGCGATAATCGCCATAACAAGAAGACCATAGATATCTGAAACAAAATGTCGATAGTTACTACAAACAAAATTATTAAAGTTACCGGTACCTGAAAACTAACCAACATGGCGGTGGTCGTCTGAAACAAAATGTCCTCTAAGATATATTGACGATATCCATCTAAAACAAGATGACGATCGTGATATAGAAAATACTTAACCATAGTCAATTAAGTTTTGAAAAAATAATTGTATATGTAATAAATATATTTTCAGATACCAGCCCGGAAAACTAAATATTGTTTCTGGAACAGCCAGTGGACCATTTGCCTTATTAGATAAAACCGGAAATGCTGTAATTATCTCCCCTTTCAGCGAATTCATGTCGTCATCGCTACATTATAGTGGCAGTGAAAACTCCATAAGTTGGGGTTTACTGGGAGAGGTCGATACAGTTCCCGCCCTATTTTCAACTGAGTATATAGCATTCTTCGGTTCCGGTGGCATAAATCAGGTTGGTGACTTAAACATACGTTATGCAAGAGCTAAATCTGCCTTTTGCAGGTCTTTCTTTAGGCCTGAAATGTTATCTAAATTATTAATTAGATATTAATTAAAATTAAATTATCTAGACCATAATCAACTCTCGATGGCATCGCTAGCCTGCGATGTTTATCGGATTAGGTTCCAATTTACTATTCGAGTTCCATTCATGATTTAATCATGAAAATGGATAATCGAGACTATTTTTTGTACGTACCGACTTTAGTAGTGACGATCGAAACTAGGCCGAAAATTCATTCGCTAAAATCTCGGTTCAGAGTGGATCAATTTGACTGAAATTTTCAGCAAATTCCCTTTACATTATCTAGTTTTTAACTATTATAGTGAGAACTGCCATCTCTTTATCTAATCTCCCATAATGTATCTTTAACGGGAATTTACAGTCACTGTAATTTGGGGGTTTTACGCGACTATATGTTGCGTAAATATTTCCATAAATGTATTTTGAATGGATTCAGACTGTCTTCTTGAGACTTTCGCTCAGAGACTAGAATATGTCCACCTTGGACCACCGTAGGTTTATCCACAAACATAAGATTTTCAACGACGACAGAATAAACAAATCAACATATAAAATCCAATGAAATACACAATTGTGTTTTAAACCCTCCGCCATTTTTAAAGTTATGTTTATATCTCTATAGGCATATGCTGATTGGGGACGATTAATGAGAGAATTTTATGGCAAAACAAGTGCTTATCGAGACAGTGATTTTACCATCAATTATCTAGGGTATTACACTGACAATGGTAAGTAAGAATTACACATATTTGTCATCAACTAAAAGTAAACTATTTTTGTGAATTCCCAAACAAAGGAGAAATAGTAAGCATATTCGGTCGCGTCTATGACTGCTTATAACTAAGTGGATTCAAACTGGAGCAGTGGATTCTAAGCCAAATCTGTTGTGATAAACGGTGAAAATAATATAACGACCAATGAGAAATGAATCTTTTCTCCATTTCTAATGGATTTTAAAATACCTATGACGTAATTAAATCAGTCCTGGTGTTTCAGAAGAGAGAGAGAGAGAGAGAGAGAGAGAGAGATAAACTAGGTTATTTCGAGACTAGCATATGGGGTCTTTAGCAGTGGGGGGGGGGGGCGGAGGACTCGGCGAAAACCCACAAGGTTGGACAGGCGACCCTACTCCATATCACGTACAACCGGGGAATCTAATTAAGCAAAGATGACCCATAGATATTTGTAGTTGTTACGGAGAGATGTAGCTGAATGTGCTTGAACTCGTCTTTGTAATGTGCACGATTAAAACTTAGGTATACCAATAAGTATTTCCTTATCAAGTCTACGATGTTCAAAAGTCGTTATCATAGTACAGCATGGCCTGTACAGGTTATCTCAAAAGTCGTTATCATGGTACACCATGGCCTGTACAAGGTCATCGCAAAAGTATATATATATGTATATAGCTGTCGCGCGTTCTTATAGGGCACCAGTTCCTGTCACGTGTGAACCCCATCTCCCAAACAGAGTTGTCTTCCCTTGCAGTCCACACTGCTGGATAGCGAGACTTGCGTGGGGAATGGTACGAACCCGGGATCCATGATTTGTGCAAATAACAGGCCTTGTGATCTACAGAGTACCCGGGCTAAATCTATTGTTGAGGCCAGCTCTATTTTTGTCAAGGTCGCTGAGATGTAAAAAAAGGTTAGGGCACGTGATAGTTGGCGTGATTATAGTTTAGGGTTAGGGTAAGCAATGGGGCTAGGTCCAGGGTGGGGTTGGGATTAGCCCTAGCCCTGTTTACACCTCGTGGCCTATGACGAAATATTGAGCTGGCCTTATCATTTAGCATTGACCGAGTACCCGTTAGATCAATTGGCCAAACCTTATTTATCACCCAATAATACATTCTACAGTAGATATCGCTTGTGTGATATATTTCATAATCTACTGCGATATCTCCTAGGAGATATCGTTTTACATGAATTTGATTGGTCAGTTGAAAAGGAACTACTTTTTTTTTATTTTCAAACAGTTCATTTCTTATTAAAAGTAACTTTTTTTTATATTAAAAATGAACTATTGTTATTCGATTGACCTTGATGGAAACACTGGGTCAATAAAAAGGACTTTGCAATGGTAGAATTGCTGTCAAAAAATGATGTATCACTAAGCCGTAATGTTCCGTAAACGTGAAATCTACAGCAAAGAATTATATTTATCTATTTGTGCATGTAAGAAGGGGTTGGGTGATAAATAAAATCTCCTACTCGTCTTTTTTGATATCAAAAAATACCAAAAAAGACTGGTAGGAGATTCTCTATATGTTCTATATTTTACGGAGCGTATTACTACTACCAGACAGAAAATAATACATAGTTTCTATATTTAAGGAGCGTATTACTACTACCAGACAGAAAATAATACATAGTTTCTATATTTAAGGAGCGTATTATTACTACCAGACAGAAAATAATACATAGTTTCTATATTTAAGGAGCGTATTACTACTACCAGACAGAAAATAATACATAGTTTCTATATTTAAGGAGCGTATTATTACTACCAGACAGAAAATAATACTAACTATGAACAGACATTGGTTGATGTACAAAAATATGGGGAAGTACAGGGAATACCGTATAGGTTTGTTATAAATGGAGATAAAACTTTGTCAAATCAGAACTGAATATGAAAGTTTCATTCTGTCCATACAGAGAGAAAAGATTATATAAAAAATATCTCGTCGCACATTTCACTTCAATTAAAAGGTTTTGTGAACAATGTTTGATGATGTGAACTTAATACGGATCAGGATAGCTTACTTAGGATTATTTATATGTTATGCCTGGTTCCCACTATCACGATTCGTGCTACGATTGAAATCGTGGTTTTAATCGTGGAGTAATCGTGGTGATCCTATCAGGTATCATATATATATATTAAAGTCAGTTGTAGCAACCGTGGTGATTGTAACGAAACGTATCCGAACGTATATGCAGGTATTAGATCGTGACTCAATAGGGATAATCGTAACGTAACGCATCACACGACAGTGAGAACCTAACATAAACAAGATATCATCCCTCTAAAGTCAATTCTACAAAACAATCTAATCGGGCTAAAGAACACGTGCTGCACCTTGCAGTTTACCCGGAAATACTTCTTGTCATGGTCAAACCTTCCGTCATACATTACAACATGGAGGTAAAAACCGACTGGCAAATCCTGATGAAGTTTCGCGGTCAACACCGGGATCGAAACAATAACCGCCTGGTTTTTTGAGCTAGCGTCATAATCACTGAGTCACCGTGGCTCGCATAATGGTAATGATGAAAGACTGTTTCATTAGAAACATATTTGAACTCTCACTGTTGTTACATGTTGAACGTTTATCTATACTTGAGAATGATGTTACAGGTATGTTCAGTTAGATTCCTGGTTTTATCCTAAAGCTAGTGATCAAGGTGTTATAACATGGGTTGGACTACCAGACGTATTTCCTGATGGATTAGAGTAAGTTGAGGATTAGGGTGGTGAACAGTTTATTTACTGATTACACTATTTTGCCTGTACCGTTTTTTAGGACTTCGAATTTTGTCTAATGGTTTGGATTGTTCGTGCCTGGTTTTATTTTATTTCAAGAAAGAGGGTCTGGCCATTCAACATTAATAAGGACAAACTATGCACGCCGGGGTGGGCGACTAAAAGTTCGAAGAAAATCAACGAGGTTAGGCAGGCAACTAGACAATGAAATGAAATGGGATTTAAGGTCCTACTGTTCTGCTCTGACTGGGCTAATGAAGACGGGCATGCGCCATACAATGTGCTATGAGAGAAATTTTGCCGGGACAGCGTCACTACGGCCTACTCTTACATTGAACTCTAACTGCCAAGGGATATTTTACGTGTATGCCAATGTATACGCAGGATCTCTGTTTTTGTACCATCCGAAGGACTAGATAGATGTCCTTCTCACTCCTGCACCACAGGCAAGGGGAACCATGCCGGAAAATCCCGATGAACTTAGGCAAGTAGACACGTTTTGGAATGAACATAAAGCAAAGATAAGACCTTATGATTAACATCCGACTGGGACACCAAACCCCAGGTTTATTAAACAGGAGCAGGTTACATTAAGCGTATTACTATTACTTAGTGGTACTTTAGGATGTACGGCCGTTATAACTAAAATATGGCGAGAGAACGTTTTTTTTTTAATTCGGTGATATGGAATTTCTGATGTATCCATACTAGAGTTACCGAAGGCCAGCAAAGCATACGAACTCCGTTATCACGAACTCTGTATTCTCGAACGAAGATCACGTTTAGTTTGAGGTCAGTCGGAAGTCAGAGCAAATTCAAAATCTTGGTTAACCAGATGGTTATGTGCATAGGGGATATTGTCCGGTAGCATGTAAAATAATACGCCTTCTCGTATTATCAGTACATGGCATTTCTTCGTTTCTTTGAGAATTTTCCGGTAGTTCTAATTTTTACAGCAGAATAAAAAAATACGCGGGAAATAAAGGAATCCCGATCATCAAGTCGCATTATCCCTATTTTTGCGGGGGAGGGGGGGGGGGGCGTTCGCCATTCGCCGTTTTACGAGAATAACTAACACAGAGACCGGATATTGATTTCAATCAATATTCTAAAACTCCATAATTAAGAAATTGTCCCATTCTCCCATTCCTATCTTACGTTATCGGGTCTATTTTTTCAGGGGCCTGAATCAAAAAACTAAATGGCCAGTAGTTGGGCATAATAGATTCTGGTAAGTTTACGATTACACACTTATTTCAGGAGCCAACATAGTTTCTTTAAGCGTGAACTGTTTGACCAATCAAATTTCTGTATTGGTACAGGGGATTGCCAATCTGATGAAAACACATTTCCTATTTCGTTTCGTTTTTTATAGATCAAAATTTCGTTTTACTTGTCTTCTTCATGTAGTGTAGGCCATCGAAAGTATAAAGAAACGAAATGAAATATAGATCTGTATTTTAATCTTGTGGAATTATGGGAAGCGTAGATTGCAGTAGCGCCGATTGTCAAGGCCGGATTTACCTAATTTTGCTAGGCCAAACTCACCAGGAGCCCCCAAATTTATAGAAATATCCGGTGTACCCTTGAAACAAGGTTATGCGATGGTACGCTGTGCGACAAATTAGGATTCAGTGGACCCCCGGATACCTATGACCAATGACCTACTATGTCTGTTGGTAAATCCGGTCCTGCTTATTGTTAAAGGCATTAACGCGATTTAGCCTATACTTGGCTGATACAAATAGTACACAATATACACCAATGTAGGCGAAACCATGGATTCTTGTATAATGTAGAGTAAAAAAGGGTCCGTTTATGTATGTTAAATGGGTTGACAGTGCAGATAAACTAATTGTTTTAATTTTGCCGTCCGTTGATGGAAGTAAACTGACTATCAACTTTTGACAGTTAGATGTTAGATGTTACTCATATCAAATAGCGACACCTAACTTCTTGGATTACTGTTATCCTAGAATGGGATAACGGCCAGGGTTGGACATTAAAAGCTAGAATAAGATAACGACCAGAGCTGGACATTAAAAGCTAGAATAAGATAACAGCCAGGGTTGGACATTAAAAGCTAGAATAAGATAACGACCAAAGTTGGACATTAAAAGATGGAGAGTCATGTTCACTATTGTATTTTAGGTCACATCAAACAACCTATGCAAAACAAAATGGCGGAGACTACGACTTTATAATACAGCCGCCATTTGCCATACCAACAGAAGAGGTTAGTTCATCTCCAATCGAACCTTCACCATCACGCGTACGTCATCATAAAAATCACCAGAGGCAATCAATTCTTTATCTTCACCACACTTTATCCCCCATTCCCATGTATCAGTATAATCACCAACTTCACCAATGATTTTATCATCCGCAACATATACTTTGTCATGAGCAGAAGTCAACTTTTTCTTTATTTTCACCCCACTTCATCATTCATTCTCATGGCATCAGCAATCACCAACTTCGCCAATATTTTTATCATCCGCAAAATATTCTTCATCATCACCAGAATATCGTCATTCTTAGTATCACCTTAAGTAAACCAATCTAATCAACAGCATCACCAGTTTTCATCAGCAGCCTATTCGTCAACAGCAGCTTCTTCACCACCGCCAAAATCACCAACAGTTCACCCACTCCTAGAATGCTCATCATATATAACAACATCAACAAATTCATCATGCGGATGGATCACATTTCGTACGTTTTGGCATGGTTCTGATTTAGGACGGTTACATCGCTAAATTTTACTGTTTTTCATTTCAAATGAACTTGTAGTATACTCTGATCATATATCTTCCAGAAATTTTGGGATGATCTGTTCAGATATTCAAGAACATGGGGATTAGCAGTCTATGAACAGGTAATTAATCTTATTATCTTTTTTTTCTGTTCATAAATCATAATAGGTTAAGTCACAGAACTTAGCGAATATCTTAAGGAATCATTTATGGGGCAGTGATATATGAAAAACATAGTATCCGCTTCTCAGGCAATATTCTAAAACATTAAATTAATTTACTCAGAGAAGAGCGGTTATTGTCTGTAAAGCTTGATCCCTGATCCAATACTGTTACCAGATACAGTTAAAGCTCTAATTCTAAAAGAATGCTGCATTCAAAATATTTTGATTTTTTTTTCTCTTTACGCACGAGATTTGGCCCTACCTAGACTACATTTTTAAATAACCTTATTTACAATATATCAGTCATACTTTTAGACATGTACATTGGCGTGTAAGTAAAAGATCCCTTGACAGTTGAAATTCGATATAGGATTAAGCCATAGTGCCGCTGCCCGGGCAAATTTTCCCTCATAGCTCACTGTATGGCGTATGCCCGTCTTCATTAGCCCATTTTACATGTACATTGGCGTGTGCGTATAAAATCCCTTGACAGTTGGAATTCGATATAGGAGTAGGCCATAGTGCTGCTGCCCGGGCAAAATTTCCCTCAAAGCTCACTGTATGGCGTATACCCGTCTTCATTAGCCCAGTCGGAGCAGAACAGTAGGACGTTAAACCCCATTTCATTTTTAGCCATTAATTATTTGTTAATAATTTTAACAATGAAACCGGTTCTTTGAATCACGTGTAACGTAAATGAGTTCAAAGAAATGAAATGGGGTTTAACGTCCTACTTTTTTGCACCGACTTTGCTAATGAAAACGGACATGAGGAAAAGTTTGCCCTTTATAGCGACACTACGAGCTACTCTTATCTCGAATTCCAACTGTCAAAGGTTCTTTTACGTGCACACCAATGTGTTCACGGGACCTCGGGTTTTCGTTCCATCTGAAGAACTACCAGTTCAAAGAAGAATATCCTTTCTAATTAAAACACGATTGATTTCTATTTTATAAAGGATTGGTTAGATACAGAATTTGATGGATTGAACGCTACTTTGACAAGTGCTCGATTAGGTAACAACTGGTTACTACAGATGGGTCTAGCTGCTGAGAATAATGGTTTAACAATACAGTACTGTATGGCTGATCCCCGTGACGCTCTGACGTCCCTTGAAATACCAGTCGTCACCCAGGTACTGTGTTCATTACATTAAATAAACCTGTTTTACATACATAAGTATTATATTTTATCCCCATTACCTACTCGCATCTTCACAACAGTACAATATTCCTCTCAATCTGATTAAAACACAGATCTTATTTCGTTTCGTTTTTTATAGTTCAAAATATCGTTTTACTTGTCTTCACAACACTAGGATCTGAAAGAGTTGTTGTGAGAAATTAACCAATGAAACGGTCTGTTACGGCGAGTTCGTGGCGTGCTCTGTACGGAACTGTTGGTAAACCCATAAAAACGTCAACGCTGCTTGATTAATCAATGTTTGACGTCATAGGGTCAAAAGCCGCTCGTATGACCCCTGATGCGACCACCCAGTACATGTAGTTTAGACAATCGAAATTATAAAAAAAAACGAAACGAAATATAGATCTGTATTTTAATCAGATTGGTATTCCTCCATTCCCCAGTGACCAACAGTGGCTCATCTGACTTAACAGATGATGGTTCTATGGCAAATTAGATTGGGACAGACGATTCACTGACCAATGACAAGCTCTTGCAATCTAGGATTAGGTATATCAATGGAATCCCCATTGACCATGCATATCTCGAGGGGAAATTTACTAACTAGCCCCGTCAATGACTCATCAATAACACTCACAAGCTTCCTAAGAATATGCAACGCTATATATTGTAAACAATCCATTCAGCACCCGCTTTTTTTTATTCTTGGTATTTTTACCATTCGCAATGTCCTTTGTGTTGGCTTTATGATAAAACTTTTATCAACATCAGTTTCTTGGTCGCGTAATCTTGATCTCAACCAGTGTGCCGCAAGATCCGCCAAATTTTGAACGGCACTCTAAGGAAATGCGAAAAACCACGTGATCCCAATTGAGTATTCGCTGGTGTCTATTGGTAAGTTCATAACCGTGTTTTTTCATTATTTAGTTTGAGTCAGTCTATGTGTCTATTTCTATGTTTATATGCGGTCTATGACTTACCATTCAAATATTTTTCATACATTGAGCCAGGTGTGCCGTTTTTTTTTAAGTGTTCCGAGGTGTGCCGTTGGCAAAAAAACGTTGAGATTTAGAACCTCACTTTATCTATGCTGCACAATTTTTACAGGCCCGTGCCAGTGAAGATTATCATCCCGGTAATAATAACTGGAGACTGGGCCTTACATCTATATTTGCTGATAGTCTGGGTGTAGCCCCTTTCAAAGATAACTTCTGGACCACCACTTACCAAGCGGGCAATAAATACAGTGAGTAAAAGTCATTGGGGATACTCGATTGACCGTTCTGGAATTAAATTCTCTCAATTCCAAAAATAGTATCAATCGAATGAAAAGGAGAACTTCGAAGTAAAACGCATGTGCCGACTGTGTAAAAAATATCTAAACTTATTATGACATCTGAAACATGTTTGTTACTTAAAATACGTCACGATTCTAGTCACACCACCTCAGCTGTCGGGACTGGCAGAAATGTGACAGGGCTGAATTTTGTGTCACTTGATTGTAATTCTGTCAATTTGGGACGTTCCGGACTGACAATCGAGCTCCCTCAATATCAGATACGATTAAATATTAATCACTACCAACTGGAAATATCATGAACTGTACTTTTTATAACTATATTATCGAGCCCTTAATGAACCATATTAACTGTTCTGGTTGGGATTTTTAAATTTTAAACTTTAAAGTTGTATTCCTTACTATTGTACGACGGAAGGCATAATATAGTAAACAATTTATTTCAGATCTGAGTGAACCTAACACTGAATTGATAGCTGCTGTAGCTACTTTAAGTACTGGCCCTGTTGGTCCAGCTGATAAAATAGGCTTCTCCAACGCTGAACTAATTATGAGGTAAAAACGGTGATTTTTGTCCGATTTCGAATCCACTATGGCCTCTCTTAAAAACGAGAGAGAGAGAGAGAGAGAGAGAGAGAGAGATGGGGTTTAACCTCCAATCGACACAAACTGGGTCATTTCGGGACTAACATATAGTTTAATTTTTTTCAATAATTCGCTTGCGCATAGGGGTCTTTAGCAGTGGGAGGAAATCGGAGAAAACCCATGAGGTTGGACAGGCGAATCGAAACCAGCCAGTTGACTCAATAACAGACCTTATGAAACTTCGCACACGCGATAACCATTCGGTCCCTCCTCTCTTAAAAACGACTTACTAGTTAGTTTCAAAGTCACACCATAAAGGAGTGTGTTTGTTCATTCATTAATTTTATGTACGTGTATATCCTGGTATTTTCTCAAAATATAAGTTGTCCCCTTGCGACGTTAACCAATATGTAAAAGTCTTGCTTTTATCAATTTGTTGGATGTTTTTGTTTTTTGTTTGCATTTTAGCAGCGTATTTTGAACTAATTGTTTTCGGATCATTATAATATATACGGGGGTGGGGGTTGGGGTTCTCTCAAATTTATATCAAAACATTTTACCCACCTTCAGTGATTTATCAAAATTCGAAACATCTTGAACTAATTTAACACCCACATAGAACACCATCTCGGTCTTTTGAAGATTAGTTAATCCAGCTACACGGTTCCTAAAGGTACGAAAAAAACCTCTTCAACCCATAAAAATAGTTTCATGTATCTATGAGATCTAACATAACGGTTATTCACACAAGAATAGATACGGTAATAAATTAAAAGTTAACTAGTGCAGGGTACAGCAATTCCATTGATAGCGTATGCCTTGTCATAAAACTGTGTCTGTTCGCATTGCTTTTAAAAAAAATCAACGTGACTTGTATGCTAATTACTATAACAGTAGTGAGAAATAAAACAGTCTTTTGTAAGGCTGTATATCATATCGTTTAAAGTGGGCATTATTTGTTAATTATCAAAGTTATCACCGCTATGTTATGTACTCAGATGAGTATTTAATACTTAATTAAACATACATTATGCAAGACCCAAATCTTCTTTAGGTCTGAAATGTTATATAAATTATTAATTAGACATTAATTAAAGATAAATTATGGGAGATAAGATAAAGAGATGGCAGTTCTCGCTATAATAGTTAAAAACTAGATAGTGTAAAGGTAATTTGCTGAAAATTTCAGTCAAATTGATCCACTATGACCCGAGAAAGAAGCCGGTGAAATTTTTGCATAGTCTCGGTCATCATTACTAAAATCATTAATATAAACAGCATAGTCTCTATTATCCACTTTTTCTGATTTAATTATCTTTGGCCGTTAGCGGCATTTAGGAATCTAATCCAGCCTACATCGAAGGCTAGCCTTGACATTGAGAGTTTATTATGGTCTGGATAAGTTAATTAATGTCTAATTGATAATTTAGATAACATTTCAGGCCTAAAGAAAGACTTGTAATAAGCAGATTTTGCTCTTGCATAATGCATGTTTAACTAATTCAGATCATAATCAACTCTCGATGTCATCGCTAGCCTGTGATATTTAGCGGATTGGAATACATTTTTTGAAAAATAATTAAACGTAAAAATGGTTGATCGTACCGACTTCAGTAATGATGATCGCAGGCTAGCCTAAAATTCATAAGCTAATATCTCGGTTCAGTGTGCAGCAATTTGACTGAAATTTTCAGTATATCCCCTTTTCATTATCTAGTTTTTAACTATCATAGTGAGAACTGTCAGCTCTTTATCTAATCTCCCATAACAGAATCTACATTCTAACGCTAGATAATGCCCTGGCTTGTTTTTAATCGGATTTTTGTTGGGGTTTTTTTTTAAAAAAAAAGGGCTTACCATAAATTTTCAAGGGCAACAAAATGGCGATGGGCTTATAACATAGCCAGCAGCATAGATCGATGAAATTTCAATTCCACATATCTTTGTAAATACTGAACGGAATTGAACCATTTTTGGGCAGATATTTTCCAAGTGATTCTTATAGCGCTTACATTGTTTTTATTGTTTTTCCACAGATCGTGTGATGCTGATGGTTTGATATTGAAGCCAAATAAACCGGCCATGGCCATAGATGCACAGATATTAGAGGTTGGAATTGCATAATGTATATTCTTTACGGTGCATTAGGCCTACATTAAAAACTGTTTATAAACTGGAGAGCATTATATAAATAAAGAACCGCATATTTCGCTATCGAAAGGACACAGGATGCACTTTGTTCTTTATAATTTGTTTGCCCTGTTTACATTTTGCTTGGCAGTTTTCTTTTTTTCTACCTTGTTATTATTCATCTATCAACCACATGGCTTTGAACGTGACGTCCATAGGGAGAGAGAAATGGGGTTTAACATCCACTCGAAACAAACCAGGCCATGTTTATTGGGTTAGGTTCCTATTTCCTGTTCGACTTCCATTCATAATTTAATCATTAAATGGATAACCGAGACTATGTTTTTATCGTACCGACTTTAGTAATGATGATCGAGGCTAGGCCGAAAATCAATCGCTAAATTCTCGGTTCAGAATGGATCAATTTGAATTAAATTTTCAGCAAATTCCCTTTACACTATCTAGTTTTTAACTATTATAGTGAGAACTGACAGCTCTTTATCTAATCTCCCATAATGTATCTTTAATGAAGCACGGGATGAGATGTAGAAGTAAGGTCGACGTGTTACAATCAGGGAATGGATCTTTAATGGTTTTCTTGACAGCAGACGCTTAATAAGAATATAAACTCAGATATGGCTTTCTTCAGGTTATATCCATAGTTATATTTTACAGTTAGCGTTTAAAAATGGTATTGGACCAGCAGGAGAAGTTTGGTCGACATATTCAATGATCAATGATAACTATTTCCATATACTTCTGGCGGCGGATATGACAACTTCGTACACCCTGATGCCATCACAGATTGGATCGTTGCCAGTGAGTATTATTATTAGTCAAAGAGGAATTATTTTTAGCGTCAGGCATTATTAGCACCAATCAGCACCTATCCATTCCCACTCCCATGAGTTTCAATGAAGTTAATGTTGGGATCTTCAGGTTCGACAGTATGCCAATCTGATTAAAACACAGGTTCTATTTCGTTTCGTTTTTTATAGTTCAAAATTTCGTTTTGTCTGTAATACACTAGGATCTGGAAGAGTTGTTATATATATAACTTGCGTTCGTGGTAGAGCGAGGGATTAGCCAATGAAACCATCTGTTACGGCGACTTTTTGGCGTGCAATGCGCGGAGCAGTGGGTAAACCAATAGAGACGTCAACGCTGGTTGATTAATCAATGTCTGATGTCATAGAGTCAAAAGCCGCTCGTACGACCCCTGACGCCACCTCCCAATACAACTGGTCGGATCTTCATGTAGTGTAGGCCATCTAAAGTATAAAAAAAGAAACGAAATATAGATCTTTATTTTAATCTGATTGTTGATATATTAAATCAGGCCCTGTTCATTTTTTGTTTGGTTTTGCGCGCATGCAAAAACCTACACGGGTGGACCTCGGTTTTTCGTCTCATCAGAACGTCTAGGGCAATTTTTTGCTTACCAGTTTGTTTACAAGCAGGGTAAATTAAATTGCGTAATTAAGGAAAAGCAAACCATCATTATCCACTTCGATTAGATTAGATTGGTACTGTATTAAATTTCCTAGTCTTTAATTTGCCTTTTTGATTTTGTGAACTTACTCTTAAACGGGTGATGAAACTCTTACTCTTTCAACAACATTTCATATCTAAAATACTATAAATTACCATTATATTTAATTTCTATGTAGACGTACATCATGGAGAATTCTCAAGTCGCTGACAGCGCCGTTGTTCCTGTTCCATTTACGGAAGACCAGCCACTTAATCTTACCACTGCCTGTACTAAATCCAACTTCTGTTTATATCACACCAGCATGCAGTTCTCATTATCGTAAGTACTGCTGCATGGACCAAATCTAGACCGCCTTCCACAATACCACCCCACAATGTATGTCAACAAATAATAAAATTAAATAAAACTCAGAGCCCCGGTTGAACATAGATCGTATTGTCTATATAGTTGTTCACCGATCGTTATCTCGTCAGTAAACAGTTTTATTCAAGTTGACATAAAGTTCTTGTATGTTCACTAAGGACAAAATGGATCAAAATAATCGATATCCTAATATAGCCCTGTCCAAAATCCAAAAAACAGATCTACGTTAAGACCAAAGCAATGTTCTCGAGCTATCATGCCGCGTGTTTATGGAACCACAGCGATGAATTGGCAGATTCGTTTCCAATTTTGCATGCAAGCTAAATTGAATACTTTCAGTGAATTACTGTGAAGACAAATCACGGCAAATTGAAGATTATGTTTTTCCGAAGATGCGAAGATATCCGAGTTCTAAGGCATGTTTTATAAAGTCGACTCAAAAGACAAATATTTTAAGCAGATCTCTCGTATTAAATCCTTTTTTTTCCTTTGCAGTGATAGAAACGTTATTATTTATGGAGAGTTCAGTAAATGGGTGCCAATGTCCAGAAATCGAGTGATATCTTTTACAGTAGGAACCAATGATATACAATTAGAATTACAGGGTGCTTATATGGAGATGGTTACCTTTTTATTCTTTGAAGATATGAATCCCGTTTATGTGAAATGCCAGATTGGAGACAGTGGGCGTGCTACCATGAGTCTGGTAGATCGACAATGTCAACAACTTTGATTTAGTCTCGAACATCAGCTTACAATTAAGAAATAAAATATGTTTGATACGCCTATTGTATATAGATTGTTAACACTGAGTACTCTCTGCCATTAAAAAAATGTATCTGTTTCCTGGTGGCTTAACGTCTGCTTTCACAATAATGATCTTGTAGAAAATCAAAAGGTAGATACAGCGCCACTACAGCTGAAAGGGATGGTGGGTCCTGGGATTAGAGGGCAGGTTATTAATTTAGACTCGTTTTCTGTGCACGTAATGTGGCTGCTCCCATTTTGAAATGAGGTTTAATGCCCACTGAACACCAACTAGGACATTTCGGGACAAATAACATAATCATGGCTCAATTCTATATCAATAATTCGCTTGCACATAGGGGTCTTTAGCAGACGACCCTACTCCTTGTCATGTACAACCGGAGAATAGAAACCACACCAGTTGACTCAATGACAGACCTTATGATACAACGTGCACGCGCTAACCATTCGGCCATCCCCCCTTCCCTCAGTGTATAAAAGCAGCATGTTAAACCCCATATCATTTATTTTCGCTTGCGCGTAGGGGTCTTGCACAGTGTGGGCAAACTGGGGGGGGGGGGGGGGGGGGTCTTTAGAAAAAACCCAAATGATCTATTCTAAGGCTAGGCATTTGTGACCTTCCCAAATAAATAGAAAGAGGTATTAGGTATTCTAGAAAAAGTACGAACAACGCGGTCATAAATAAACTCAGTAGCCCACTGCATATTTGTGTTGTCCACCGTTCTCATTACTAGATTATTAGTATATCAGAGATGACCCTCAACAGTAAAAATATGTGGTGGGCTTAAGTATCTTCTAAATATCAACCAACTACTGTGCCCCGGGTGTCTTATTATTACTATCAGACTCGATAAATTCCCCTTTGGTGAAATAAAAAGACGTTAACTTGATAAATTTATTTTATTTTTATAACACAACAATATATACAATAAAAAAATAATTTATGTTTTAATCATGCCACTAAAGCATTATGTTTTTCTTTCTTTTTTTTTTTTTTCAGTTTTAAACTTGATAACAATTTTTTTTCTTTTTTTAATACAGTTAACTTGATATATTTTTTTTAATTACATTATATTCATATCAAATACAAATTCCACATAATTTATAATTATTAATATAACTGTAAATATCTAATAATATAAAATTGTACTATCTACCCTTATATTACATATACTTTCTAAATATATCTAATAATATAAAATTGTACTATCTACCCTTATATTAAATATACTTTCTAAATATATCTAATAATATAAAATTCTACTATCTACCCTCATAAATATACTTTCTAAATATATCTAATAATAATATAAAATTCTACTATCTACCCTCATAAATATACTTTCTAAATATATCTAATAATAATATAAAATTATATCTACCCTCATAAATATACTTTCTAAATATATCTAATAATATAAAATTCTACTATCTACCCTTAAAAATACACTTTCTAAATATATCTAATAATATAAAATTCTACTATCTACCCTCATAAATACTGTTCTAAATATATCTAATAATATAAAATTCTACTATCTACCCTCATAAATACTGTTCTAAATATATCTAATAATATAAAATTCTACTATCTACCCTTATAAATACACGTTCTAAATATATCTAATAATATAAAATTCTACTATCTACCCTCATAAATATACTTTCTAAATATATCTAGTAATATAAAATTCTACCCTTATAAATATACTTTCTAAATACCCTTAAGATGATAAAAAGTCGGATGTGTATGATATTGAATGAACAATATGTTTAAGTATCTTTCACGCATGTAAGATATCCAACTCCTGCTCTAAATTTTCATTTTGATTAAACTTGATCAACTTCTCCGGTTGCAAATACCATGTTAAATTGTGTAACTGATTATACCACGATCTATAAAACTTCTAAACATTTAAAACTCTAATTCAGTATTTTTTCATGAAAAAAGTGCCGTTAAAAATCACAAGTTTAGTTAAATCACGCTTTGATTGAAACAGACGGCCTACAAAAGAGAGAAACGGACCTATCTCATTTAGACTTTGATGAACAATTCAGGCTTCTACTTTAAAAAAAAAAAAATAATAATAATAAAAATATAATATAAATAAAAATAATAATAAAAAAATTAAATAAAATAAAAAAAAATAAATAAATAAAAAAAATAAAATATATAAATAAAGTTAAAAAATAATAAAAATAAATAAAATAAAAAAAATAAATAAATGGCCTGTACATGTTCGTCTAAACCTAAATGGACGATGTCAATTGTTCTTTTCTGTGGCATCCATTCAATTAGTAACGACAATTTATTTTCAAAATGTGATTTTTATGAACTCCTTTCTCCACAAAGAAATACCTCTTTATTGTTAAATTGTAAGTCATTTCATAGATAAAACCAAGGTATATTCAATTAGTTACCCTGAGACTAAGTTTTGAAAAGAGGGACACAACTAAGGTATATTTAATTAGTATAAAACGCTGAGACTAAGTTTTGAAAAGAGGGACACAACTGAACCTGAATTACGATATGGTTCATCTCCAAAATTCCAGCAAGTTTGAAAAAAAATCTGAAAACCCCTAAAGCATTTACAATGATTCAGTGACAGACGCAATAACTCTGACTGTGTAAAATTTACGCCCAACTAAGAATTTAGATGATAAACTCTACCGGCAAGTTTTAAAAGAAAACTCAAAAACTCTTAATTTGTAGAAACACAGATGGACTAATAGAAAATACCCAGACATTTCATGTCAGGTATGAAAACTTAATATATTTGAGGTAGATTAGAATTTGTAAGAATTTTGTTTTGTTGAACTTTTGACATTACTCTTTTTTAAATTCAATATTTTCTTCTTTTGAAGTTAGGTTTGGGCATATTTCCTGTCGTTGTGTGGTTGTTGCTGCTATTTCTAGCACTAAATATCATAGCATGGATCATTTAAACTAGGATAGCTGTCATCGGAAGTATTGCCAGCTTGGTCATTTACTATTTTTTTGCGAGCTGGCTTTTTCTTCTTCTGTTTACGCGATTCCTTGCCATGTTTTGATTTCTTTTGAACCTTTTCTTCTGATATATCTGCTTCTTTATGTTTAGTGTCTGGAGATTTTGTAGTAGAAGACTTATTTTTTAGTTTGGATTCTTTGGGTCTTGAAGGGCTTAAAGGTTCTACTGAAAGACAAAGAAAGTTGAGAAAAATTATATTTTCTAAATATAAGCTTACAGATCTACAATTCAAGGTTTATTAATATATTCTACCAATGCAACAAAGCAACTGGTATCACACAATGCATCTATAAGAACAATGGAAACATTGTTGTCATTTCTTACTACTTCCAGAGGGTTGGATGGCCTAATGGTTAGCACGTCTTCCGGTTTCCTCCCACTGCTAAAGGCCACCTATGCGCAAGTGAATGATTGAAATAAAATTATTAAACCATATGTTAGTCCCGAAATGACCTAGTTTGTGTCGAGTGGATGTTAAACCCCATTTCTAGTGTCTAAGAGTAAGAAGACTCCTCAAGTATTGTGAGATAGCATAATTCTTTACTTACATTTTAATTTATTAGACTTCAGTGGTAATTCCTTCTTAACTTCCTGTAAACTGTGATTGGATGTATCACTTTCTATATTGGGAAGGGGGGAAATGCCTCCCAAAGTAAATACCGGCTTTGTATTCTTCTCTTCAGGTTGACCATTAACAGATTTTTTGGGTTGATTGGATGGACTTTGTGGCCTTAGCTGATTAGCATCTTGTTCCCCAGATTTATTTCTTGATGAAGTTTTCATGAAGTTCAATTTAGGTTTACTTGAATGCTCTTCAATTTGCTGAACTTGGTCAGCTGTTTCTGATTGACTGGATGGCAACTGAGGATTGTCTAGAAACTGCTCTACTGGTTCTTTGCTTGGAGGAGAACTTTTCACTATTGTTTTCTTTTTAAAAAGATGAGCTAGTCTGTCGTTAAGCGCTTGTTGTGATTTACTCACTGGTTGTGATTGACTGGATGGTGGTTGAGGATTGTCTTGCTCTACTGGTTCCTTGTTTAGAGAACTTTTCACTACTGGTTTCTTTTTAAAAAGATGAGCCAATCTGTCATTGATTGCTTGTTGTGATTTACTCACTGGTTCTTTTTCGACTTCTTTAGGTTTTAGTAAATCATTGAGGGCTTTCTTTGACTTTAGGTATTTGGAAGTTTTAGGTTTTTCTTGGTCAAGATCATCATCACTAGGAATCTTCCAATTTGGCTTCAATGATACATCACCAGAGCTTGTTGCTGATAAAGGACCATCACCCAAGGTAGTTGGTTTTGCTATGTTCTCGGCAGAGATAGCTGGCTTCCAGGTTGCCTTAAGTGGTTTATGGCCAATGCGCACAGGTGGTGATGGATTACAATTATCATCTGAATTTGTTTGTTTTACTGCATTTTCATTATTGGTAGGCGGTTCAGAATTTACTGGTGCCTGGCCCAAGGTTGGTGGTGACAAAGGACTCAAATTATCATCCAAAGGTGGTGGTTTTACTGCTCTCGCCTTAGAGGTAGGTGGTTCCCAATTTGCCTTTAATGGTGCACGAGCCAAGCGTGGTGGTGATATAGGGCCAAATTTATCTTCCAAAGATGCGTTGGCTGCATTACAGAATGAACCCATTTCTAGTGGAATAACTTTTTTTTCTTCTTTGGTCAGGTCTGATGGGGAAGACTTTGATTTTGATGTAGGTAGCGCCTCGTCTAATTTTTTTTGGGTTTCATCTTTTGTTTTTGAAGCTAACAACGCATTGACTGAAAGTATAAATGATCTCCAATACAATATAGAAGAGAGCTTACTCAATCAAGAAAGACATTTTCTATCACCTTTAATATGAAATTTCGTCCTCTTAATTCTTTGAAAAATACCAGAATACAAGATAGTTTCTTCCCACCCTGTTTAGAAAAGCTTAAGCCTAGTGTAGGGAATTGTGAGCAACAGGAAACAATTAGCAGCTACTGGCAAATAGTGTTATGCTCTTCTTACGACTGGTTTAGACTGATTTTTAGCAGTTGCTGCCAGCTGGTCTGTAAAAAAAATCCCTATTATATATAACGTGATTGTCTCAAACCCGCGAACGAAGTAACATGGATGGGGGCCTAAGAATGTTTCGAAGGAATGTGGAGGCAGACAAGGTCTACTTGATGTTTCTTCCAAGGCCTATTCGAATGGACAAAATGAACTGTCATTTGATTTATAATTAGATTGGAAAAACTAGGCAATGTAGAAAGCCCAAATATTGTTTGTTTATATCACATGCCCTAACTAGGAATGTCTCGTGAGCAACAGGAGACTGCACAATGGAGAGATACAACGTAACTAGGTGCTGTCATTTGCTTGTTGTTTTTTTTTTTAATGTACGCCTCTCGCATTCCAGCCAATATTGCCTCTGCTTCGACTACAACGTATATTAAGCTGGTCAATCAAAACAAGGCACTCTTGGCATAACTGGACGTTCACTTTTACAGTTTACCCATTTATTGATCCGAAATGTTATCTCAATAATCTAGTCTACATGTGCAGTCGAGAAAATATTGGCTGGAATGATCGAAATTGACAAATATATAAAGACAGATACAATAAACTTACATTTGTCTTTACTGGACTTCAGTCCCGGATCAACAAGATTATTCATCAAATTTGTGAATCTTTCATCCTTTGTGCTCTCAGTAGGTACTTGTAACACTTCCTTCGCGGCTTTCGGGGGTGGCATGTTTTGAGGCGTTAGGGGACCAAAATTATCATCTAGTGTTTTGTTAATTGCAGCCCATAATGACTTCTTTTCTGGTGACATATTAGCTATTAGTTCAGGAGATAAACCAGCAACGGGAGGAGGAGGCTGATCTTTACCGTTCTTTGGTTTCGTACTTTTTGATTTTTTCTTGCTTTTTCTGGCTGTCGATAAGTGTATAGGTTCAAGTCTGCCCCCATTTTTCTCCAGTGCTTTTCGTTTTTCCCATTCAGCACACCTAGTCTCCCTTTGTTTGGTCTCATCTTTTTGATAAGCTTCGAAAGCTTCTCTACTCATTGGTATTCCTGTAGGTCCAAGAACATAATGTTCATCAATGGGCATACCAGGATAATATTCTTCTTCGGGGGGATTAAAATAACCAACTTCATCAGGAGGGACTAACCCTTGGGATTCATAAAACTCTGCTGGCAGATGTCCGGGTGCATAATCCATGGGATTAAATGGCTCTTGCTCATAGTAACCAGGGTGGAACTGATGTTCGTGCATTCCCTGTTGGCGCTGCCCTGGATGCATTCCTGGAAAAAGTTGACCAGGATGATTTCCAGGAGGTAGTTGGTTTGGATGCACCCCTTGAGGTAGCTGGCTAGGATGCACGTTTGGAGGTAAATGATTTGGATGCATTCCCGGAGGAAGGCTACCTGGATACATATTTTCTCCTTGAGAAGACTGATCATTACCAGTCTTTGGTTTGGTACCTTTTGATTTGGATTTTTTCTTACTTTTCCTGGCTTTCGATAAGTTAATAGGTTCAAGCTTGCCCCCATTTTTCACCAGTGCATCCCGTTTTCTCCATTCAGCAGCCCTTACTTCCTTTTCTTCAATCTCTTGTTTTCCATAAGCTTCGAAAGCTTCTCTGCTCATTGGTATTCCTGTAGGTCCAAGAACATAATGTTCATCAATGGGCATACCAGGATAATATACTTCTTCCGGGGGATTAAAATAACCAACTTCATCAGGAGGGACTAACCCTTGGGATTCATAAAACTCTGCTGGCAGATGTCCGGGCGCATAGTCCAAGGGATTAAACTGTTCTTGCTCATAGTAACCAGGATTGAACTGATGTTCGTGCATTCCCTCTTGAAGCTGCCTTGGATCCATTCCTAGAACAAGCTGACTTGGATGAATTCCAGGGGGTAGTTGGCTTGGGTGTATTCCATGAGGGAAGTCACCTTGACACATCCCTTGGGGATAATAAGAGAATTCGTCATATCCAGGAGGCAACTGGCCAGGGTAGAATGCTTCTGAAGATCCTGCTTGCCCATGATTTGGTAACATAGAATTGTCAACAGGCATTTGATTAGGTTGCAGCTCTTCTGTTGGAAATATTATTTTATTCTTGATTATTGGTTCTTGTTTTACTGTTATTTCTTGAAAACCTTGCTTTATTTTTTGCCTCAAGGGAAGCTGTCGAGCTGGTCTAGGCAAATCTCGAATCTTCTCCATAGTACTTTTTTCACCTTGCAATCGCTTTCGTCTATTCAACAGTGTTCCTGGCTGTGGCGTTTGCTTTGCCCTTTCCCTGGCTAACTTACTTTCTAGGAGATCAAGCCTTTCTTCTTCCATCATAGCTGCTTCCTCGGCAGTTAATGGCCGTCCATAATCATCAACTTGGTTACATGGATGACTATTGCCATGTTCATCCACCAAATGTGGCTCCTGTGCAATGTCAGATGGTGCCCCTTTTCCCACCATTTTCCTCAGATTCTCCTGGAAAACCAGGTGGTCTGCTTTCATAGTAGCTTCTTCCTGTGGAGTAATATCTGCATGTCGAAGTTGTGCCATTTGTTGCATTAAAAGGTGATCCTGGTATGCTCGCTGATCTTCCATCATTGTTAAAGGTCTTCTTGATTCATCAAACTGATTATATGGATGGGGGTTGCCATGTTCATCAACCAAATAAGGTTGCTTGGATAAATATGGTGCATGCGGTATGTTTTCGTGTTCATAAGATGTTATTGCTTCAAAATCTATTTGGCGTGGATCTGCTACTTGACCCAGGACAGGAAAACTAGATGTTGATACCACTGGCGGTAATTCATGAGGATTACAAAACATCTTGGATTTTTGTGCGGGAGTAAGGTTATCAAACTCTTTCTTCTCTTTAAAGTACTGGTCTAGTACACCAACCTTAGCAGGTTTATTATCCCCCTTTTCCATTGAGCTCTCTTTCTTTGGGGTTGATTCTTTTGACATACTAGGAATTTTAACCTGATTTTTTCCCGAAATATTTTCGATAGCAGGCATTTTGACAGACTGTCTCTCATAAATTTGACTTGGAATGCCAAATGGATCCTGGTAAACTTCCTCAATTTCAAATTCTTCTTGGTTTACCTTCATTTTACTTTGTGGGCTCGACTGTTGAGTTCTCTTTAACAGTCTTTCTTTGGGACTTTCCAAAATGCGCTGACGGGGATTTAAACTACCTGTAGGCATTACATCACCGATTTCAGTATGTTCTTGAAGTGGTTCATGCTCTTGAGAATAACCATGTGATATAGGTTGATGAGGCAATGCAGGCCGTGTATCATCACTGCAGTAGAAACTTTGTGCCATGGCTGCCAAATGAGCAGTGACTTGCTCATATGTCGGCCGTGTTGAAGAATCGGTTGCGGCTTCCCTCTTCTGTATTTCACTGGATGTTTTGTTTTTCTTTTTATTCTTCTTTTTCTTGTCTTTTACCGTATCTTCAAGTTTTAGTGGGGCCAGTGTATTTGATTTTCTATTGTTTGATACCTCAAACAAACTCCCTTTACCTAATAATGGATTGGCACCACCAAAAACGTGACTATTAGAATCATTCGTTCTAGAAAAATCGATGCAACTTACTGAAGGCTCTTTAGATTTGACTCTAACAATATCCGGTTGTGTTTTGGACGGTGAAATGCCTCTGTCAACTTGGTCATACCTTTGTTGATTCAACAATTCCCCCCATTCTGATGCTAGATCTTTTGAATCATTGCCCTTGTCGTCCATGAGCAATGCAGTTTTATTTGATTTAGTTTTCAATAGTTTTCCCTTTGAGTTGAACTGAAGCTCTGCCCTTTTCTCTAAGGGAGATCCTCTAGCTAACTCTTGAATATTTTGTTGACTGGGTGAGTCAATATTCAGTTCTGGGTATTTTTGTGCGTATAGTATATCAGCTACTGTATCAACAGCCCTTGCATGTTTGGCATCGAATGTATCTTCCTCTGTCATAGAATACGCTCGCTTCTCAAAGGGTGAACCTACTGCCATTTCTTGAATATTTTGTTGACTGGGTGAGTCAATATTCAGTTCTGGGTATTTTTGTGCGTATAGTATATCAGCTACTGTATCAACAGCCCTTGCATGTTTGGCATCGAATGTATCTTCCTCTGTCATAGAATACGCTCGCTTCTCAAAGGGTGAACCTACTGCCATTTCTTGAATATTTTGTTGACTGGGTGAGTCAATATTCAGTTCTGGGTATTTTTGTGCGTATAGTATTTCAGCTACTGTATCAACAGCCCTTGCATGTTTGGCATCAAATGTATCTTCCTCTGTCATAGAACACGCTCGCTTCTCAAAGGGTGAACCTACTGCCATTTCTTGAATATTTTGTTGACTGGGTGAGTCAATATTCAGTTCTGGGTATTTTTGTGCGTATAGTATTTCAGCTACTGTATCAACAGCCCTTGCATGTTTGGCATCAAATGTGTCTTCCTCTGTCATAGAATACGCTCGCTTCTCAAAGGGTGAACCTACTGCCATTTCTTGAATATTTTGTTGACTGGGTGAGTCAATATTCAGTTCTGGGTATTTTTGTGCGTATAGTATATCAGCTACTGTATCAACAGCCCTTGCATGTTTGGCATCGAATGTATCTTCCTCTGTCATAGAATACGCTCGCTTCTCAAAGGGTGAACCTACTGCCATTTCTTGAATATTTTGTTGACTGGGTGAGTCAATATTCAGTTCTGGGTATTTTTGTGCGTATAGTATTTCAGCTACTGTATCAACAGCCCTTGCATGTTTGGCATCAAATGTATCTTCCTCTGTCATAGAATACGCTCGCTTCTCAAAGGGTGAACCTACTGCCATTTCTTGAATATTTTGTTGACTGGGTGAGTCAATATTCAGTTCTGGGTATTTTTGTGCGTATAGTATATCAGCTACTGTATCAACAGCCCTTGCATGTTTGGCATCGAATGTATCTTCCTCTGTCATAGAATACGCTCGCTTCTCAAAGGGTGAACCTACTGCCATTTCTAAAACAGCTTTTGGACTTTTGATATCTTTAATTAATTCTGGATATTTTAGTTCTTGTTTTTGAGCTTGAATTATTTCTGCCCATTCATCTCTCGCATTAACGGCTTCTTTACTTTTTCTCATTGAATCATATTTCACTACATCCAAGCTATCTTTAGACTGCTTCTTCAACTCAGGGTAAAATACATCTCTTTTCTGAACATCTAATATTTTTCTCCAACTTCCACCAATATCATTTGGATTGATCTCGAGATCTTCATTTTCTTCTGGTCCTTCCCCCATAGTTGGTGTACGTGTTGGTTGGAATACAGTTTCTTTACTTTTTCTCATTGAATCATATTTCATTACATCCAAGCTATCTTTAGACTGCTTCTTCAACTCAGGGTAAAATACGTCTCTTTTCTGAACATCTAATATTTTTCTCCAACTTTCACCAACATCATTTGGATTGATCTGGATATCTTCATTTTCTTCTGGCCCTTCCTCCATAGTTGGTGTACGTATTGGTTCGAAAATACTATCCTGGTCTGGTTCAAATTCGACCTCTCCACCTTGATCTTCCTCAAATAAAACACCTCCATCTATTTCAGGAGATTTTGGAAGCTGGTGATGGGCGTTATCAGAATCAGTGTTATCTGTACTATCAGTGGGATAGCTATGCTGTTGGAAATCGTTATCAGAATCGGTGTCTCTTTTCTGAACATCTAATATTTTTCTCCAACTTCCGCCAACATCATTTGGATTGATCTCATTATTTTGAAATTCCTCTGGCTCCATAGTTAGTGTACATTTGGGTTGAAAACCCATATCTTGGTTTGCTTCAGAATCAGTGTTATCCGTACTATCTGTCATATAACTATGCTGTTGAAAATCATCATCTGAATTTGCATCCTGTCTACATGGAGAATTGATAACTTCTCTTTCAAATTCTTCTCTTTGGAATTTAAACGGCTTTGTCATATTTCCATCTGCATCTTCATCTCCTTCACTTTCAAAGCTAATGCCCCCCATATCTTCATCGTGCTTGAATGGATAATAATTAGAACCTGTCTCTCTTGGCTGCTGTTTGTGTGGTTTATCCAATTCCCGAGAAGCAATGTCACTTTCACTACCCCACTGAACATACTCGTGCTCCAGAGCGTCAGTTCTGTAATCTTCATTTCCATGAATAATCTCATTTTCGGATCTAGAGATGTCGTGAACTTGCTCATCATCAAGGGGGTTCAAACATTCCATTTCATCCTGAAAGTCCTGTCTATTTAGTTTAACGCAATGTTGACTTTTCGCGTCATTTGCTATTTTGTCCCCATTATGAAAACATGCTGAACTACTGATAAAATTTTGTCTGGCATCTATTGCCACTTCTGACACAGCCGATTCAATGAGTTCTGCGATATTATCACCTAACTGTACATGTCCTAAAGGATTTGATTCACTGTTGTTTACACATATTTTCTTCTTTGTTTCAGTTCCTACGTTTTCTTTAAATCCATTATCTTTACCATCTCTAACCTTGGTTATATCTTTTGTCTGCATCGGTTCATCTTTTACCACTGATGTAACAATTATCTGGACTGCTTCTTCTTCATAAGAATCAGAACTATTTTCAAACTTCACTAATATTTCACTCGAAATTTCTTTTGATTCAACGGGAGATTCTGTCAGATTATCGGGAGCATCAAGAAGTTTTTGTCTATTTAGCTCAACATCATTTTCACTTTTCACAACATTCAAGGTTCCATTCTCGTTTTCTTCATTCGATGCACCTACATCATCACAAAGTACTAAGGGAATTTTAATATCGTGTTTGGGGTCTACAGCCTCTTCTGACACAACATAGCCAATATCAGATAAAGAGTCTGATTTATATGCGAGCTCTTCAGACTCTTCCATCTTTGGATGTTGGTGAATTTTCGTCCTGTTTTGTTCCACCGCCTCCTTTCTTTCAATAA